CTCCCCTCCACTCCCTCCCCTCTTTCTGTAACTCACACATCAACGGGCCCTTACGTGTTACGCTGACCGTGTTTCCTCTAGTCTCCCATCCCCTCTCTCCCCATGCTCTCCTTCTCCCTTCCTCCTCTCTGTCCGGACCCCCCCACACTTCCCCGCCTCTCCCTTCCTCTTCCCCTCCCCTCTCCCTCACACTCACACATCAGCAGGCCGTTCTATGACGTTGACCATGTTCCCTCCAATGATACGCGGTTTGAAGGTGGGTGTGTCCGTCGTGCCGAAGGGAGCGTCACGTGTTGTCAGGGCGGCGACCCGGATGTGGTCCAGCTCCGTCACTTCGCTCTGGGGAAGGCAAAGGGGAAAGGTCAGAGTTTCTTCGAGGCATATCAGTAAACTGTGATTAATTAAATGTTTAGTAAATAAAAGAGCCACTACACTTGATGATTTGCCTGTATAACGTTGTCTACCCCGTACATCAAGCCTGACTGGTACTACGGTCTACGTGACAATGCATTTTAAGTTAAGAAAAGATAAGATAAGATAAGACTCTTATTCCTGTGAGAAATTTTCTGTGACGATACAAGAATGGTAAAAAAATCCCCAACAAACAACACAAGTAGATATGCACAGAATCTAAATTGAATACTACTTTCATAAAAGAATTGCAATGAGAAGAGAAAAGTAATGTTGATAATGATTCAAACTGTCACACCAGATACATCTCTCAAACCACATGTATACAAATTAATTATACACTATCACTCTTTACACCTAATGCACTACTTTCAACAACAAAAAAGTTGTGACAATATAAACTAAGACTTGCCACATTCCCAGTGCGGGATTATACAAAATATTGTTGTTATGCCACTGGAAGATGAGAAACACAGTCAGTTGTGGTTCTGAACCCGTAATCATAGTACACCTATGTGGGGCAGTGTGGTGGAATCAGGCTCTCGTCAATTTTTGGTCACATCGAGTTATTGGTATCATCTTAAAGCGTG